AGCTCTCCAGAATCGCCGCCTCCTTCCCTGAGCGCCGAGGGGGCTGTCTGCGCTCCGAGTTGTGACGCTGGTGTGGCACTAGGGGCTCCTGCTGGGTTTCCGACTCTTCCCGCAGTCGGGCAAAGCAGGAATTTTGTCCGTTAGGCAAAAAAAAAACCCCAAACCACGAAAGTGCCGTGAGCTGTCAGTCTCTCGCAAATGATTACCTCAACAGGTTCCAGTTCCCAAGATGATGGCAGTGTAACTTACAAAATATTTCCATTGAAGAAGCTGTTTTGAAAGCAGAAATATGTAGAGAAGTACTTGCTTCTGCATGGCATCTGTGTTCTCATATGAACCTATGAGAGGTAGGCATGTGTATTGTGAATGAATGTGTATATACACGATTAGCTAAAACCTTATTTTTTCAGAATTTAAGGTGTTTTCTGAGGCACTATGAAGACTCAGAATGTGCCTTTCTAGTGATCTGTGGAGCTGGGATTTCAGGACATATGTAGCAGTATGTTGCTAATTTTTGTGTTGGGGCTTTGTTGGCATTTGACTCATAGAAAATGGATATTGCTGCTGCTTTTTTTTTTCCCCCACCTATGTCAGCAAAATGTTTCTTGTTTGAAGCAAGTAGTTGAAGAGCATCCTCAGGTTTCATTGGGTTTGTTTACTTAAAAGTTTGTCTTACGACTTTTGCTATACCCAGTTGTTTTCCAGTGTTCAAGTCTCTACTCAAAGATGAAATTCTAGCTCTCATTGCCATAGCTCCGGCAACACAACACTCATAGGTACTCACATTTGCAGGACCTCCTCATCAGACAAACTCTGGAGCTAATCTCTTTCTCTAATTCTGTCCCTGTTAGAATAAATGCAGCATTTTGTATTGCTGCATCTGTTCTGACTACATGTTGCTGTTAATAATTCTGAAGGGCTTTAGGATCTAATGAATATCTAGAATGTCAGTTGCTAAAGATCAGGGTTTTCAGCTTTGGGCTGAATATGTTCCAGTGGCTGTATGGATACAGCATAACTAAGCCTGACTAAAATAGTGGGGATATTTGTTTGAGGGCTTGGGGTTTTTTTATCTATTTTACAGTTGTTGGGTTTGTTTTTTTTCCTCCTAACTGGATGTAGGAAGAAGAGTAAATGACAAAGAACAGTTGGCAAATTCCCTGATAAATATTGACGCCTATGGAGGAGAAGCAGGAAAAGGAGCCAGTTTTTCTAACTGCAAGGAGTTCTGGATATGAGATAGATAACACAGGAAGCAGTTATTTATTCCAGCAGCAGGCAATTTGGGGTGTGACTACAAAGTAGTTTAATCCAATCTAAATCTAGACTGCTGCAGTCCTGCCCACGGCTAGGCTTATGTTCCCACTGCCTCCTTGTGTTGGTAGTAGTGCTCCAGCAGCCTCGCAGTGAGCTAGCTCCAGTTTTAATTTTGGGGTTGTTTTCTTAGGGGGGGTGTTGTTGCTTTTTGAGGAAGTAGGGAGCTACTTTGGCACACTCAACTGTGTAGCATAGAAATGCTAATACCGGTACAAATAAGTGCCAGAAATACATGGCCAGAGATGGGGGAAGGCAGGAGTATCCTTTTCTGTGGCAGTGCAGACTTACATCACTGTTACATAACCGTGACTTCGTGTTACAATTTCGAAGCCAATGCTGCCACATTGGCAGGAGTTCTGTCTGCCTGTTGCTGATGTTTTCTGCTCCTGTGCTCGCTTCCTTGTGTGGTCATGCCATTTGAAGTGGTCTGTGGAGCTGATCTGCATTAAAACTAACACAGCAAAAATACCTTTAGCATTTAGTTTCAAGCTGGATTTGTTTGCTGATACGGTTTACAGTAAGGCTGCTTCTGCTGGAAGAAAGGGAGGGGTGAAAAAGCGTGTTGGTTTAACCCCAGCCGGCAACTGAGCCCCACACAGCCACTCGCTCACTCCCCCCCCTCCCCCCCTGCCCCCGTGGGATGGGGGAGAGAATCAGAAGAGTAAAAGTGAGAAAACTCGTGGGTTGAGATAAAAACAGTTTAATAATTGAAAGAAAATAATAATAGTAATAATAGAATATACAAAGCAAGTGATGCACGATGCAATTGCTCACCACCCACTGACCAATGCCCAGCCAGTCCCCGAGCAGCGGCCCCCCCGGCCAGCTTTCCCCAGTTTATATCCTGAGCATGACGTCACATGGCATGGAATGTCCCTTTGGCCAGTTTGGGTCAGCTGTCCTGGCTGTGCCCCCTCCCGGCTTCTTGTGCACCTCCAGCCTTCTCAGTCGGCAGAGCATGGGAAGCTGAAAAGTCCTTGACTAGTGTAAGCACTGCTTAGCAACAACTAAAACATCGGTGTGTTATCAACATTGTTCTCATCCTAAATCCAAACCACAGCACTGTGCCAGCTACTAGGAAGAAAATTAACTCTATCCCAGCCGAAAGCAGGACAAAGCATCACTAGTAATCACTTTTATTGCCCCTTTCTTACTGCATGGAGTCTGGATTTTGGGGAGCTACCACTAAATTAGCTACCATTCTTATTTTTTCCTACCAAGTAGAAAATCAGGTGCAGTGCTACAATTCTGCCTGTTGGATCAATTACTTTTGGTACCAGCAGTCCAGATAAGAGCAGAACTCTGTTAATATTCCCCGTCTCAATCAATCAGTAAGTAAAAGTCTGGAAGTTAGGTATAAATTCTAAATACTGTTTTTCAAATTGAGATTTGAATTTGCATGAATGAAATTAATGCCTTCATTTTCTATGAACTGTGAGTCATATGGAGCTGAACCCCATTCCCTCTATTAGAAGCTGAACATAGTCTTTTAAATCCCATTGCACTCATTTTTTGAAGTTACCTTTTATAAGTACAGGACATTGCCATTTACTAGATAAATTGTTACAAGTGTCTCTGGAGAATTCCGGGAAATCAAAATCAACATTGGTGCAAACTCTGCAAGTTTTTAAAGAATGTGAGAGCACACTTTCAATCACTTTCAGCCATAACAATAACCGCCCCTGCAGTCAGCTGTAATATTCATTGAAGTACATAAAACACTCCTTCATTTGAAACTGAAAAAAAGCCTACCCATTTATTTAAAGATGTGCCCCAGGTATTAGAATGAATATTCCAGTTAGTGCAGGGATACTCTTTGGGGGAGGAAGCAGGTGGATGAAGTAGCCTGTGTTACTAACAATGCTTTGAGACAGTATGCACGGACCTGAGATTATAAACTACTGAACTGGTGTTTAGAAAAAAAAACAAAACCAACCTTTCATATGAAACAATGTAGGCTTTTTACACAAAACTTACAAACTTGGATTTCAGTAATACTTGTTACGTCAAAGGATCCCTAAATGATTCCAAGCTGTTAAAGAATTCACTTTGCCACTATTAAAGTACAGCCATGCCGGAGTTGAGATACAATTGCTTTTGCAACACGCACACATCATTAAAATAAAGTTTGCAGAACAAAAAGGTGCGACATCTATGCAGTAGTCTGTTGCACTTTCAAGGGAAGTCAAACCACATTTCTGTATTCAGGCTCTATGATATGGAAGATGTTCAAGAGCAAGAAAACATGAACGAAAGCTTCAAGCTGCAATCCTTAGAATTTTGACCAGCATCCAAGACAAGTTATCCTCATACCCTTCTTGCTTGGCTTATCCTCTTCTGACTGCACCACTTTCCTTAATAGTATCTGTGGTTTATGCATAATCCCAGAAGATAATGAGAGATGATAGTGGCTGTCCACACTGTGTACTGTGAGGTAACCATGCTTTAAATATCAGGAGAGGAGATGTGAATTACTGATTTTATTTTTTTTTCTTAATGCTGGTACTTTGGGTGGTGGGGGGGGGGGGGGGAGGTTGAGACTTCGCTAACCTGTCCTCTACTGTACTTATGATAAATTTTGATCTTAAAATTCATGTCATATATTACTATAGAAGCAAAGGACCTGTGTTTGCAAAGTTCACTCTGTCTTGAAATTGAAGTCTGTGACATTTAATAGCATTGTAGTCTTATGTGTTGAAGTTCATGAGCTGTAGTTTCAGGAATTGTTATTGAAATTGTTCACAAAGTGTAAAAAGTTGATAGTATTGTGCGAAAAGGTCTGAGTCTTGCTAATTCTTGGTATTACTGATCTTCAGACAAAAGATGTTTTAATTCACCTGGTAGTGTTACTTGTGTTGCCATTTTCAAATAGGGCACAGAATAGGATAGGTCTACATGACCTAATGTTATTGAGCTTTTATGTTTTTATTGCTTATTGCCAAAAGCTGAGTTTTGTTTTGTTTTGTTTTTTAATGCTGTTATTTCACAATTGAGTAAACATTAAACTGTTGGAAATGTCATAAAATCAGGTAACTGGTGATCTGCACTGATTTTAAGTCTCAATCCTCAAACACTGTAGCTACACATACATTTACACATTCTGTACATCCAGAATTTAATTCAGAGTTAACCTGCTTTTATTTGGCTTTTGTTTAAACCTACCCCTGGACATAAAATTAAATGTTGAGGTGAGCAGAGCTATAGTTTAAACTATTATGTGAGTTAATGCTCTGGCCTGGTTTCGGCTGGAATAACCGTTACGCGTGATGGAGGCCTGCTTTCCTGGAGATGGCTGAACACCTGCCTGCCCATGGGAAGTAGGGAGTGAATTCCTTGTTTTGCTTTGCTTGCGTGCGCGGCTTTTGCTTTCCCTATTAAACTGTCTTTATCTCAACCCACAGTTTTCTCACTTTTACTCTTCCAATTCTCTCCCCCATCCCACTGGGGGGGGAGTGAGCGAGCGGCTGTGTGGTGCTTAGTTGCCAGCTGGGGTTAAACCATGACACGCTCAAACATACTGCACAAGTTACTTGAATTTGATATTAATACAAGTCATGTTATGTATGTTTTTAGTTACATACTTCTGTTTCTTAGCATTCTCTCTTTTTCCTTCTGATTACTTTTCAGGTCTGTTAACTTGACCATCTTTTCAGTGATGAAACAACGTTGGGAATTATGGACAAAAACATTGGAGAGCAGCTTAACAAAGCTTATGAAGCCTATCGACAAGCATGCATGGACAGGGACCATGCTGTGAAAGAACTACAGCAAAAAGTATGTATTGGGCTCTGACCTGTATCTTTAAAGCCATCCTTCCCATGGTGGATTGTGGTACATGGAGATTTCAGTTTCACTTTAGCTATGCACACTTTAGTGCATCTGTTAAAGTTGGAAATTGCCATTATGAAACCAGGCCAGTACACTGCAGAGTAACTCATTAGGCTGTGAATGTAGTAGGTGGGTTTCAGGTTTTCGACCTTTAATTTTTTGTAGTTTTAAAGGTGAGAAAAGTGTTGTCTGTTTTGGAGGATTAATGAAGTCTTTTAATGTAAACAGCAAAGATGTATATAAAATTTACCTAGCCTTAATGAAGTATGTTTTGAAATTTAATTTGCTTTATTAAAAAAATTACTTTTTAAATTATTAATGTAAATAGCTTAAATCATTTTTGTGTTAATAGGAAGATATGCCATATGAATTAGTAGTTCATTTGATGTAAAGGTCAAAGACTAATATATAAGCACTGTGCAAGCTATTAGGACAACAGAGTTTGTGTGCTGAAACATTTACAGCAAACTTACCTTAAAATTATTAGAATAAGTATTGATTTTTAAAAAATAATCATCTGTACAATTATTCTTTAATTATGAAGTAACAGAAAGGTTCTGGAGGCATTCTGAGCAGTAAGGAGCACCTTTGAATTTTTACTTAGTCTGTTGTAGAATACATTACTTCAGCCAAAACTCTTCTAGGACTTCTCATCATGTATGCCAGCGTATTGCAAAGCTATCAGTTTTGGGCTTTATCATACTAATTTTATCATGCGTATTCTGCCCAGCAATGGAACCTCTGTTATAGGAAGGCTTGAATGTTTTTGATGCTACACAACTTTCTGATACCTCCATAGAACTGGTAGGCTGGGACTTTGTTCAGCGGCAGATGAACCATACTCGGTATCAAGTTATGGAAGCAGTAGTAGAATCGGGAGCAGAAAAGGTCTACTAGAGAATATTCTGATATCGGGGCACAATCTTGCCGTCCCCTTGCATGACAAAATAAACTAGCCAAGGCACTGCAGAACAGATATCAAGTCAGTCATGTGTGCAATCATCCACTGTGCAGTCGATCTCCATTCGTAGTCTGTTGCAGCAGTGCTGGTGCAAATCTGTAGCGTTTTCTGTACTTAACAAGCACAAGTAGCGTGTCAATACGTTTAGTGCTGAAATTGCAACTAACTTAACAAAAGGCAACACATTTTAGAATGTTTGGGAATCTTTTAAATTCTGTCTTTTATGATGAACACTTAATTATTTGAAGGAAAACCAGTCACATTAATACTCCGGGGTCATCTAGCAGTGCATGAAACTTCTGCCCAAGAAAGAAGACATCAAGTACAAGGTCAGATAGCACTTCTATAGTCTATGGAAGGAAACCAGAGAAGTGTGTGAGATCATCCGTGTTAAGTGACCTAAATGCTTGCAAGATTTCTCTCCACATTTTCTCTGGTTCAGAAACTAAAAACAAAAGCCTTTCATAAAGGATTACTACCAGTTCAAATCTTTGTCCTAATCCACCTCTCGGTAGTTGGATTTCATAACTTCAAAAGAGAACAAAAGTATTTTTTCAAGAAGAGTTGATACTGTAATTAGTTGGGGGTTTTTTGTTTGTGTTGGCTTTTAGGTTTTTTTAACCAAACTCCTGGTTTTTGAGTGACCTTTGTACCGTGCTTTGCTCTAGTAACTTCCTCTGTTCACTGTGTGGCCTTCACACACTGTTGGATTGTCCACCATTCTGTTGTTAACAGTTTACTACTTAAGTTACCGATAGGCCACTTGTTTTGCCAGTCTCTAGAGCTGGGAGCCATGTCAAGCACACAGAAGCCAGAGTCATCTCGGCCAGATGGTGTTTGATACAGATGGATGGTTGGTTGTCATGCAGATCTTCTAGTTGGTAACTTGTTGCTGCCATCTGACTCAAGGAATAATTTGTGCACACTGGCTGTCAAAAGCATCTTCTCTTCTGTCTGTTTTAGCTGTCATGTCTGTGCTCTGTACAGAAGTGTTGACAAGACATTGCTGTTGTACATTTTCAATTTGGTTCTCAGTGATTTTTCTGCTTCATGAGGTCTCTTATAGCTGCTGGAGTGTACTGCTCTTTGATCGCTTTTTTTTTTTTTAATAAACTCTCATAATACAACTACTGCCTGGCCTTTTAAAATAAATTTTGCTTGTAGATTTTTTCCTGCCTGCTTAACAGACAAACACATTGGGCAGTAGGGGGATGTGGAATTTAAATGTGACTGAGATTTTAGAATTAGATAGCAGTATGGATAAACTATGAATAGGTGTGAAAACAATGCCTAGTCTTGTTCCAGGTCATGACCTATTCAGTAGCAGACATGTTCTTAATTTCAGAAAAATTCAGTGCATTCCTGTAAGTTTCCTTGCTGGGACTTCACAAGTTTTCTTGCTTGTTTTTACCACTACTGTAACTGCAACATTAGGCATGTGCTAATGAAATAATAGTTTTTGAATATTAGCATCTTCCTGCCACCTGACCATTTGTTCAATTAACCAGCTGTCTAACAATATTTATACACTTCGGTGAAATGTGAGCAGTCTTATTAGGCTCTGTACGGCCTATTTATAGCATGAGATGGAGTATGGCTAGATAAAGAATGGGGCTGCTTCCTTGCTTCCCCCCCCCCCGTTTTCTAGGTTAGAAAAACAACTCTACTACATTCAAAGGAACAGGTGAAACTCTCTTCATAGGCAATTAAAGTTTTTTTAAAAATATCTGTTGTATGGAATAAGCAATGTTGTTGTTTTCCATTTAAAATCTATCTTTTTGAAAGCCTATATTTATATCATTTATTTGTTAGAAAATATGGGGGAAGAAAATTACATCTTTCTATAGATAAACTAACTGACCAGCATTCTGAAGAATACTAAAATTCTAATTTTAAACCTGATGTGTTCTATGGCTATGAATGAAGAATCCTATACTTAAAAGTTATCCTATGCTTTACAACTGCCACAGTTGAAACAGTTACTGAAAATCAGGATTTATTTCCTATAATACCTTTTCTAATCAGGGCAGTCTCAAAAATATGGACTTGCCAAAGGTGACTGTAGTTGGGTTTTCACGCAGAGGTCCACAACTACAATTATCTTTAAAAATCAGAGCTGCTTTTTATATGCCGAATAGGAGACACCTATTCAAAACAGAATAAGACTAATGATAATTAAATTGTATTTGCAGACAGAAAACTACATGCAGCAAATACGTGAACAGCAGGAAAAGATAGAGCTTCAAAACAGCATTATTGCAAAACTGAAATCGCAGTTAGCTGCTCTGAATGCTAACAGAGGTATGTACTCCAGTTTGCACGTTATTTCTTTTTATGCTGTGTTGCATTGATGAATAGTTCTGACTTTGTTGCTTCAGTTTTTACAATATACATCTCTCAAAGCAGTATCATACTTTTTCTGTGAACGTGAGAGTTAACACATGTGCAGTTTCAAAATCTATTTATAAAATGCAACACTTCTGAGGTCTCTCTTTATTCTCTTCAAGAAACGGTGATATTTTCTTTGGATGTAGAACCTGCTTACACTGAAGCCAATAAAAGTTATGAAAATATGGGTTCAACTCGTTCACTAGAATTAAAACCAAAATTGTTAGGTATTAATTTTACAGTCATCTGCTAATAAGTTTAGCTCAGGTTGTTCTAGATGTGAGTGCTATGGTTATATGTCTTCTATGTTAGATGAGTCTTGTGATGCTAATCTTATGGGATAACCAAAGATTTATAAGCAGGTAATTCTCTTTCAAATCAAAGTCATTGATGGATCATTTTCCACTGTTTGACTGTATTACACAAATAAAGAAGAGAGTCAAAGTAACCATGTGTTAATCTGCCATGCTCATTAAATATTTATTCACACTAGCCTAACACTCCTGGTTTTCATAAATACTAGCAACGTGGTTGGCTTTTATTTTTAAGAGTACATGCACATTCTTTATTGCTGGTTTAGTCTTGCATTGTCTCTAAGCACAGAATTGGGATTCTCTTGCTTGTTTAATATGAAAGCTTGCTCAAAGAAAATAAAGAAGTTAATACAAGCCTAGCTTCTTTTAATTTTGCTTGTTCTTAGCAAGCTGGCTAGGGAAAAATGCAGTGACAATCAGCTCCTTTTTCTTTTAAGGTAATGCGCATCCCTACATTCTGATGCATGAAGACATTGAAACATCCAACTTATCTTTCAGCCAGCTCTCTGAAAAACTGAACGTAGCAAAGCAAAGAGAAAAACTCTTAAAGGTATGGTTGCCTGCAGCATGTTTAACGTAAGATCACATTTGTGCTGTGATTATACTATGAGAACCTAAAGAGATAAGTAAGATTTTTACTGGTGCCTTTGAACTGCACTTCTAATACAAGATCCTCACCTGAAGTGCATAAGTGGTGTGCCACTGCAGTCTACTCAGGTGAACTAAGCATCTACCTTTGATCCTTCCCAGTGCAATCACTGTTTGGCCATCGAGGTCCCTAGAATAGTGTCCTGGTTTCGGCTGGGATAGAGTTAATTTTCTTCCTAGTAGCTGGTACAGTGCTGTGGTTTGGATTTAGTAGAATAACGTTGATAACACACCGATGTTTTAGTTGTTGCTAAGTAGTGCTTACACCAGTCAAGGACTTTTCAGCTTCTCGTGCCCTGCCCGCGAGAAGCTGGGAGGGGGCACAGCCAGGACAGCTGACCCAAACTGGCCCAAACTGGTATATTCCATACCATATGATGTCATGCTCAGTATATAAACTGGGGGGAGTTGGCCGGGGGGCAGCAACTGCTGCTCAGGAACTGGCTGGGCATCGGTTGGCAGGTGGTGAGCAATTAATTGCATTGTGCATCACTTATTTTGTATATTCTTTTATCATTATTATTACTACTATTTTCCCTTCCTTTTCTGTCCTATTAAACTGTCTTTATCTCAACCCACAAATTTTACTTTTTTTTTCCCGTTTCTCTCCCCCATCCCACTGGGAGGAGGGGGAGTGAGCGAACGGCTGTGTGGTGTTTAGCTGCCTGCCAGGTTAAACCACATCAAATAGTTTTGATCATAAAGTAGGAACGTACTTGCTTATTTATTTCTTAACCTGCCAAAACCAGCAGTCAAGAAGGGGCTTTCTCTTTCTCTCACAAGAGCTTTTCACATTGCAACCAGTCTGTGTATTTTTGCAAGAAATGGAGAATCTGCACTCAAAAAGTGATGGAGTGGAAAGTGAACTATCCATTGCTCTGGAGATGCTGATGATTTGTTTGTTTTCTTAAATAGTCAGTTTTAATATGATGTCTCTTCTGCCCCTCTTCACTGAAGTAACACTGAGATTTTCACTACAGTCTGTTGAGAGTAACAGGAATAAGAGTAAAGCGATTGTGCAGAATAGATGGGAAATGCCTTGAATGGATTTTGCGTATTGAGCAAAGCCAGTGACAGAGATGCACAAAGTTTCATTGTTCTTATCTTAAGTCATCCTACTGTGTTTTTTGAGAACTGTCTTGTAACATAAAATCTCTTATTTTTGAATATGAATCTCCGTAGCAGGGACCCTGTAAAGGTTGTAAAAAGACCCTTATACAAAATCAGGCATTGGATTTAAAAAGAATTAATTTCAGCATTTGTTTCCTAAACCTGAGCTATAAACAAATTAATTATGTTAAATTCACAGAAATGCATCTTTTTATCAGAAATCTTAATTTAAAAATAATTTCATTGGATTACTGATGCTTGCTTAATTATCTTGAACGAATCTCATTTGAGACTAAGCCTTTGCCAACATTTTAAACGTACTGTTACCAAACATTTATATACACTCCTTTTTTATTTAAAAAAGTCTTTATAAATTTTGCTACACTAGAATCTGTAATCACAAGATGTCATTTCTTTCCTAATCTTTGTGTTTATTTGGAGTACAACACAGCTGAAGGGTTAATTCTTTGATGGAACATCTTTGCATATTTTTGCATTTCTCTGTCTTGAGTTGGATAAAAATTATGTCTCACAGTTGCATATGGAGACCTGACCAACTCTAATATTTCATATTCTTCTTTCTGAATGCTTGCTCAAAGACAATAGTTTTAAGTAACTTAGTCATATAATGAGTAGGAGAAAGGAAGCTGTGTTACCTGCTCTTCTCATGGGGAAACACTGAGAAATTATGTGATCTGTACAGAAGATTACAGGCAATGCATGAGAAGCTGGAATCATTATTTCAGGGGCTATTTTCTTAATGGAATGTAAGTTATTTGTCTTTATCTGCATTTTTTTGTGTCGTCAGTTATTGCAGTTACCTCTCAGCAGTAGGTAGTTCATCTGTGCCATGAACAGAAATATTTCTGATAGAACTCCATGCAGAATCAACTATCAACTATACAGTCTGCTTGCATTTAAACCCAGGCACAGCCTTACAAATAAGGTCTTTTCAGAGGGGATCAGTAGAGATCTAAACCCATGCAAAGTCAGGTTGACCCCCTACTCTATGTTCCTGTTATTGGGAATGTAGTAGCTTTCTGACTCTTAAGTGTTGAGAGCGTGGAGCTTGAGGAAAACATGTTTGACTGGACCAAAGTTGGCTTCTGCAGAGGCACATGGATATCTTTGCATTATCCTTCCAACATAAGGAGGACCTTAATGTTTGGTGTTGTGCCTAGTAAGCTTCTGCTAACCTGGCAAGCGATACAAAGATGTCCAGACAGCACAGCAGAGGTACGCACACTTCTATTAGCTCTGTCTGTGTCTTGGCCATGCCGTTCATGGGCTGGCTATGAGTGGAGATACACAGCAGTCTCTGTACACAAGTCCTCATTTTATTGAATAAACTCAGGGGAGGAGACCATATAACCCCAACTTCCTGTTGAAGATGATGGAAAATTAATTCTATTGTGATAAATGCTTTATATACTTTTATGGCAGCTGCCAGTTTTGGCACTTTTTAAATGTAGAACTTTTGATGTATGATGGATAAAAGGTAAACTGCATGGAATGAATGTATGGAACAAGTTTGGGGAAAATGAACAAGTAGCAAATCGCCAGGACCACATCAAGTTAACCTAAGAGTTCCCACTTCTCTGTCTTTCTGAATAAATGAAGTAAAAGTTAAAAAGAAAAAAAAATTGATGTGCCATGTTAAAAAAAAAAAAAAGGCAAAAGGAGCCGATTCTTCACAGGATAGGTAGTCAGCCAGTGGAACTTCCTGCTTCACGGGAAAATTGGACAACTTCATGGAAGAGAAATCTGTTGAGAGTTAATAAATACATAGAAACTATTACTAAGAAGGTCTGGGAAATTATTAAAGGATGTATCATGAATGCCTCCTGTTTTCTTGTACTCTTCCCTGGACATCGTATTTTGACATCTGTTAAACCAGAAATCCATCATCCTGTCACTGACCCAGTATAGTTGTCTTGTATCTAATTCAATAAAGTATTGGCTTTTTCAGCTACTGAAATTTGGAAGCTCAAATATTCTGTTTGAAAGCCTGTATTTTTCTAATCATATTCAACCCACATTCTGCTCTAAATCAAATAAATTATGTCTACAGCCATTGTCCTCTACTGCATTAACTGCTTTATTCTACTTCTCCACCAAAAATTTCAGGCTTGCAAAATGTACAGTTCCAGATAATAAATTATGATTACAGTCTTTAAGTTAAAATGTTTCTGTTTCCTCCTCTCCTTCCTTGAAACTCGGAGTCTCTCCTGAGGCTGGAGGTGCCTGGGTTTATCAATACCTATTGAAACTGTCTTTTGCTAAGGCCAGTGGGATTTCTCAGTGGACTATATTCTGTCCTCCAGTAAAGTTAATAGAAATCCTGGATTGATTGTAATAGGTGCTTGGTTAGAGCTTAAATTTCAGAGGTTTAAAATGAGGGAGGGGTTAGCTTTTCTGTGTTTTCTAGTGGGTGGCCATACTGGTGTATTTTATCTGCTGTTGTCAAATTCTGTTGCCAGTGTGTCATAAAATGTTTTGGGGTTTTTTTTGTTCACATTCATCTTCTCTGAAAGAGGTGAGTGGACCAGATTGGCTTGGTGGTCAGTACCAAACTATATACAAGATTATCAGATTTTTTCAGTCCCCTGCTTGAGGAGACCAAAGGGAGCTAAATTGCTGCCTGTTTTTGAGCACAATGTGGCTAAACTTTATTAACTAGGAAGAATGTGGATCCAGTTACTGTTTCAGAGCCAAAGCTGCCCAGCAAACAGAAAACCGTAGTGAGATTAGACAATGTCAGGTAAAGCTGCTTCTGCGTGCTATTTTTAGTACAGAGTCAGACATCAGAATCCTCGTAAACTCCATAAAACATGAAGCTAAAGTCAATACCTGTGACAAGAAAACATGCTCATGTTCATATTTTCCTGGGTCAAGAACCTCAGTATTAAACACCGTGTGGAGTTTGTTGATCAGAATTTCTTGTGCCATGGAAAAGGGGAGGAAACCATGTATCAGGAATGGATGATGCATATGGTATACAAAACTGTTCATCATGCAATAAATGTTGAGGTCTTTTTTTGTGCAGGACATAAGCAGAGGAATGGCAGGTGGATGGTAGTCATCTTTGTGCTCAAAATTATGGTGCTAAAATGACTTAACTAAGAGCAGCTACTGCAGAAGTCTTGTAGAGTTGCGTGTTCTAGTCAATACCAACTTCTCCAGTGTCACTTTATTTCCTATCTTTGATGCAAAGAAAGCTGTACTTCATGATTTTATGCTAGCTGACAATTTTATGCATTTAGCTGTTCTTTGCTGCTGGTATGATGTATGCAATAGGATTAGTTAGGCCCTGCTACAAGAAATTCTGGTATCGATAGCCTTTTTTCTTATTGCTTCATCTGTTTAAGCTATCTCTACCCAGTAATAAAGAAGAGTTTGTGGTTAAACTGTTAGAAGTTACAGTTAATATTCCCTGAGACCACTTATTCAGTGAAGCCACTGAAGCCACTGAAACAGGCCATTATAGCACACTTCAGGGAAAAATAAAAGGGACCTGCCTTTGCAGCAGTACAGTCTGGGGACTGACTGGCTGTAGAGCAGCTCTGCTGGAAAGGAGCTGGGGTCTTGTTAGACAGCAAGCTGAACATGAGCCAGCAGTGTGTCCTGGCAGAAAAGAAGGGCAACAGCTTCCTGGGCTGCACTAACAGGAGCACAGCTAGCACACCCAGGGAAGTGAGTATCTCCCTCTGTTCAGCATTCATTGGACTGTATCTGGAATACATCCAGTTTGGGGACCTCCAGTACAGGAAAGACGTTGATAAACTAGAGTGAGTTCAGCAGAGGCCCCCCCTGAGATAGCTGGGGGCTTGAGTACATACCCCATGAGAAGAAGCTGCAGAAACTGGACTTGTCCAGCCTGGAGAAGAGATGGCTTCTGGGGAAGCTAATAGCTTTCCAATACCTGCGTTGAGGTTATCAGGCAGATGGAGCTAGGCTTTTAATGGTGGTGCATGGCAAGAGGATGAGACACAATGGGCAGTTGAAACATGAAAGGTTCAGACTGGACATAAGGGAAAACTTTTCACCATGAGGACAGCCAGGCATTGGAAAAGGTTGCCCGGAGAGGTTGTGCAGTCTCCATCCTTGGGGAATTCAAGACCAAACTGAGTAACCTGATCAGACATCATAACTGACCTTGCTTTGATTAGGAGCTAGAGAACCCTTGAGGTCCTTTCCAACTTGAATTATCCTCTGATCCTATAAAGCCTCTCCAAAAGAAAAGATCTGATCTGTTCATAATACAGATGTAACCTCTTTGCTGGCTGCTAATACCAGCATGCTTAAAAGATCCATTGTGTGGCCAAGTACTTAACTGAGCAGGTATGACCTGTGTGACATACTTGTCATGGCATTAGCTTTATAAGCTTCAGCCAGTTTATAAATGTTACCACATTGTTGCAAACACCCAAACTCCGTCAGTATTAGAAACTAAGATCATCAAGCTCTGAAGGGCTATATTACTGAAAGATCCCAAAAGGTATAATAATTTCTCCGGTGTTTTTCCTGGTGTGATATCCTGATGGTGCACAAGAATGGTAATTTACATCAGTATGTACTGATATATCTTCATTGCAACATGTTGCATGGCTCTTCTCACATTGGTTCCCATGTGGCTTTTCTCATTGCTTGCTTAAATTTTGTCCCCACTTCCTGTGGGAGAACGTAGGAGAAATGAAGGCGAAATACTGGTCATTACTGCAGTGCTCCCAGTTATCTGAAAGCTTTTGAAAGCCCGCATGTTATTTGGAGCTGTAATAGTCCCAAACAGATAAATTATGTGTGTGCAGATCAATGCTGTATCACAGGTTCAGTGACAGAGTTATTTTACTGTCCTTAAGATGGAGCTGTTCTTCAAGGGCGTTTCCTAGGTGTTTGGATTTCCAGCAAATTATTTTCAAAGGAAAACACAGGAGAAGCTGCATCCCATTGGCTTTTTAAATGGGAAATGGAATTTGACCATGGAATGTTTGGGAACCCTGTGACCAAATAATGGCTCTGTGGTAGCTTGGGGTCTGTGAACCCACACCATAGAATATCACTGCCTTCCCATTCCTGGAATGGCAAAAAGCAGTCCCCTATACTATAGCTGCTCTGACTTCGTAGTCTTTAAAGAACATGGAAAAGGTATGTAGTTATAAAATTATGTCAAGCATCTGGCCCTGCTATACCTTTCTTCAAAGTATTTTCAGATCTGTTAAGAATACTTTTATGCATGTCTCCATCTCCTCCTAACATAAACTGTTATTTTTTTCCTGCATCAGATCAGATATGATTGTCTTTTCTCATTCATCAAATACTTCCTTAACTTGCCTTGAACTTTCTGTGCCTCATATCATAGTATTGTAATTCTTACTAGCGTTCTTGTGCCATTTGAGAAAATGAAATCTAGCTGCTGTAGCATCAGTTATAGAAGATGATGTACAGGTTCTTTAGCCTAAAATCTTCAGTCTTCTGTTTTTTTACAGAACTAAAGCAAAAAAATCTTTCTCCTTTTTTTCACTTTTGCTGTTTGGTTTTTGTTTTTTTTTTCCATCTGCTTCCCTGGATTCTTATCTACCATGATATATACAGATTCCACAGCAGAAGAGTATAGAAAGTGTTTCCTGATCTGTCCTAGAACTACACATATATTCCCCACACTACCTGCCAGAAGTGCAAAGCATGGAAGAAGGCTTAGGATTAAGGAAGTTAGCAACACCTAAAGCAGAAATAACTTGTCAATTCAAAGGTTGAAAGAATGGGATATGTAAGATCTGCAGATGATGGTGAGAGAAACATCCCATTTTTAGACAATGTTTTGAACCCACTGAGCAGAAGAGGCTCAATCTGGATCCCTGAGATCACCCAAGTCCGGAGTTGCACTGAAGCTCTTACTGTAGGTTTACCATTCAAAGTCAGAATTGAAACTAAAGAAAAAAAAGTGCCTTCAAAGCTGTTTTTCTGTGGCTTTTTTATCCAGCTAGTATAACTTTTTGAGGCTCATCTGTTGTGTCAGCTGCATATGCACACAACTATGCTTAACCACCTGTAGTGGTCTCTGTAGACCGGCTCTGGACCCATCCCTACATGGCTGTCATTGTCTAGTAGAGTAGCCCCTACCTACCTAATCTCCAAATTCACAACCTCACCCTATTTAGGTCCCATTTGTAAATAAAACAAATGTTCTTGAAAAAGCACTCATTTCCTTCTTTCCTCTTCACCTTGCCCTACCTGTCTACAGACTATCTCACTGCATTTCACTTACATTACTTCTTGCAGAGTTAACCCTTTGGGCTTACTTCTCTTGCAGAGACAGACATGGGGCTTCAGGCCACTTTTTGTGACATCTTGATACAGTTCAAGATCAATGTTTCTATAGATTTCATAAACTGACAACTATAAGGTTTTCATAGCCACAGTTTTTAACCATAGGTTGTTTCTTGAAAATTGTCCAAGGACTATCGTTGCGCATATTAAAAAAATTGTTCATTATACTCTTCTTCATTCCACCAAAAAGCCCACATACATAAAAATTCCGTGAATTACCAGATGGATAGTTAAAAGTCAGTCCAGCCACTGTTTTTTATTTCACAAATCTTTATAGCATTGCAGTATTTGCAATGTAATCCTGGTTATACATACAAATTGGGGGACGAGAGGCTAGAGAGCAGCCCCACAGAAAGATATCTGGGAGTTTGGGTTGATGGCAAGTTGCATATGAGTCAACAGTGTGCCCTGGCAGCCAAGAGAGCCAACTGTGTCCTGGGGTGCATCACGCACAGCATAGCTAGCCAGTCAAGGGAGGTGATTGTCCCACTCTACACTGCACTGGTGTAGCCCCACCTCAAGTACTGTGTGCAGTTTTGGGCACCTCAATAAAAGAAGGGCATCAAACTATTAGAGTGTGTCCAGAGGAGGGCGACCAAGATGGTGAAAGGCTTCGAGGGCAAGGTTTACGAGGAGCGGCTGAGGTCACTTGGTTTGTTCAGCTTGGAGAAGAGAAGGCTGAGGGTGACCTCATCACAGTCTACAACTTCCTCAAGGGGGGCAGTGGAGGGGGAGGTGCTGATCTCCTCTCTCCAATGACCAGCGATAGGACACGAGGAAACGGAATGAAGCTGTGTCAGGGGAAGTTCAGATGGGACATTAGGAAAAGGTTCTTCATGGAGAGGGTGGTTGGTCACTGGAACAGGCTCCCCAGGGAAGTGGTCACGGCACCAAGCCTGTCAAGAGTTCAAGGAGCTCTGGATGACGCTCTTAGTCATATGGTATAGTTTTAGTCCTGTGAGGAGCAGGGAGTTGGACTTGATGATCCTTATGGGTCCCTTCCAACTCGAGATATGCTGTGATTCTATGATTCTGTTCTTGGGTCTGCTTGAAAATTAAGGTAGAATCATAGAATCATTAAGGTTGGAAGAGACCTCCAAGATCATCGAGTCCAACCGTCAACCCAACACCACCATGCCCACTAAACCATGTCCCTAAGCGCCTCATCTACCCGTCTTTTAAATACTTCCAGGGATGGTGACTCAACCACTTCCCTGGGCAGCCTGTTCCAATGTTTAACCACTCTTTCAGTAAAGACATTTTTCCTCACATCCAATCTAAACCTCCCCTGACGCAACTTGAGGCCATTTCCTCTCGTCCTTTCGCCAGTTACTTGGGAGAAGAGACCGACACCCTAATGCAGCAGGTACCTACTGCAGCAGGTAGCTGCAGAATATCACCTTCTTCAAAATTGTTAAAAGATTAATTGAAATTAATGAAATATTACTTTATATATTGTACATACAACATATTGTACATAAAATGTTAATGTAAATGATATAGTAAGTGAACCAGGAGAGTATCTGTATTTTTTATAAACACTAACATGACTTTAATAAATTCAGAACATACAGTTGTTTTGAGTAATCATCTATGATGAGTTACATCTATGTGTAGTGGTAGAAGATCTTTACTACCAGTTTAAAATTAATAATGTAATAAATAAGACTGACCCTTACTTATGTTGCAAAAGCTTAATTTAGCTTATTCCAGACTGCTGTATAGTGATATTCCACAAGCCTCAATTCTATTAATTGTACTGGTGTTTCTAAAATTATTTTTAGGAACAGTTAGAAAGTGAGAGCATGAAGTTAAAGCAACTTGAGGACAAAAACAATCAAAAGGAAAGGAAGCTTGTATCTATTATTTCCAACCAAGAAGATAAAATAAGAACTCTGAAAAGCAAATTGAAAGAATTAAATGAAGCACAAAAGGGTATACAGACGCCAACATATAAAAGGGAGGTAAGATAAGCAACCAAGTAGAGATAAAATGAAAAAAACAAACATTTGTAAATTATTACTTCTTTCAAACGTGTTTATACTAATTATTCTAAGAAACTGATTTTAAATTTCAGTATTATATAATTACTAGGAAATCATGAAAGTATATAAAGCACATGGGGAACACCAAACTATTAAATACATATTGCTTGGTTTGTGTGTTAATTATTTTATGTTATGTCATCAAAATTTTAGTACTTGGGAAAACTCCAGATTAGCATTTCTGTTTTATAATTTTCAGTTGGAAGTTTTCACCAAGATTGAGTTGATTCTTTCACTTTTATGCCACCCTATTTTTGTTATAGAATAGCATCCAGAGTGCTATTCTGTCCTTGTGGGATAGCTAGAGTGCGCTCGTCGACGTGAATCTAACCATGCAAACATATTTTAGCTAGCTAATTTAAAGTGAACATAGGTAAGGGTAGGAGCACAGCAACACATAACTTGTTGCTATTACACTTCCCAAGCATTGCTTAACTTACTGTAGCAAGCATTTGTGACCCATATTGCTAGGTGTAAGGCAGCTGAAATGTGTCTACAGGAGCTGCAGTTGCACTTTAGTGCAAGGTAAGACAAACCTGTAGGCTCTGGGTCTGTGATTATAAACAATGTATCATTGAAATCAGCTGTTTTGGCAGACATATGATCAAGTTCTGTGTCTGATCTGGAGCACATATGAACTACCCAGGCCATCTGGTAGTGTAGATCTAGTGGAACTGCAGCTTAATGATGGTTATTATAAAAACTCCTTAATGCCTGGCAGATTTAAAACTATGTAATACTAGAGTGAACCACAAGGTGGTAGTCAAAGTTAAGAACTTATTTAAAAACCTTCTAGAACTCTTGACATACCAGCTTGTGACGTGTTCATTGAAAATTTCAGTGAATAAATTGATTTTTAAGAGCTACCTCACTAACAGGCTTATACACAATACATAATCTTACCTTATACATGATTGAAACAGAATTACAGTCAAGCAGTATTCTTAGAGCCAGTTTCCTTTCAAGGGAATATGAGCAGAGGAATGCCACACTGAGTTGCTAAGTTAAACTAAAAACAGGAATTCACACAAACAATAAAAAACTGCTTTTGTCATTTTGTGACTGTTTTGAGAGCTTCCAGAAGGACTAGGTGAAGGATTCCATGACATTTTTATTCATACCAGGGTGAAGAGCAAAATTTATATGCTAACCTGTGATCAATATTTTCATATTTTACTTCAAGGTGAAAAGTAGGAAAGTTGTTCCGGATAAGCCTGAATTATCTCTAGGGATCTCTGGTATTTCTCCTATGCCTGAAAGGTAAATACTTTTGCAGCATTATTAAAATTGCTTCTAATTGTCTTTTCTGCTATTAAATAAGACCAGCTATTTCCCTCTTTCTACACAGTACCTTAAAAAACGGATGCGGGAGGGAGCAACAGAGGTCAAAGAGCTGGTGTGGGAAGGTAATAAAGCCAGCAACTATGTGGAATCATGGCTGGGGCTTTGCAAGTATGTAGGGATAAATTGGGAGGA